TATCTTCATTTTCTGGACAAATTACTCCAAAAGGTCAGTTTTAATCGGCTTCTACATTTATTCAATATAACTGGTTATAATGTTGATTTTATTTTCAGTGGGTGATCAATATAATAAAAAGTATGATATGTACATAGGGAGAGAATTACAAAGAAGGTTGTTAAAATTACTCGAAGAGTCACCAAACAGAAAAATGACTATACCTGAGAAAAAAATCAAATCTTCTAATTGCATTAAACCATCTGGAGCTAATAAATTAACGACCAGTGACCAATTATATGAAGAAGTTCGTTTACCACCGCCTAGACAATTTAGAGATATTCCTCTCCCACCTGAACCTTTTAGAGATACGATACCTCCACCAGATTCAGTCGACAATTTATTATATCATATGTATGAAACCGTCAAAGAAGCTAGATGGAATGATCAACATCGATTAGCGATGAGACAAAAAAAATTTTCAGAAAGTTCCAAAAAACCTATAGCCAGGTATCAAATTCAAATCAATATTCTTATTTCTAATTTAATCATTTAAATATAAATCTAAACAGAACTAAGAAAAACAATATTGAACCTGAGTACTACGAAGACGAATTACACAAAGATATAAAAGCTGACGGTCGAATTCATTCGTATAACAGCGTTGAAGACAATTCAATGTTTCAGAAATATAAGGAACAATTTAAAAAACAAATGAGTTTTACTGGCATTATTTATAGGTAGGTACAGGTACTTAAAATTTAATTTATAGGTAGGTTGTTAGCCATCATTTTTCTATGATTGTTTTTATTGTATTGAAAATGTATGTATTATTAGTGACGCTCATATATTAGCTTCAACATTACCATATTTTCACATCAGCGAAGATCTACGCATGTTTTCACCAGAAGGTGTTCATCTCATAATATGTGTTCATGGTCTGGATGGTAATTCGGCTGATTTACGTTTAGTTAAGACATACATCAAATTAGGTTTGCCTGGAGCTCATCTGGAGTTTCTCATGTCTGAAAGAAACCAAGTAATTTATTTTAAACAAATCAATTGTAATTATTTAAACTAAAACATGGTTGTGAGTTTTAGGGTGATACATTTTCGGACTTTGAACGCATGACTGATCGTTTAGTGAACGAGATTCTTAGTCACATATCCTCGTTCCAACTACCGCATTATCCATCTAGGATAAGCTTTGTTGGTCATTCTCTAGGAACGATCATCATTAGAGCAGCAATTGCTAGACCTCAAATGAAACATTTACTACCGAAAATGCATACGTTTTTATCACTTTCAGGTCCTCATTTAGGAACTTTATACAATACTAGTGGATTAGTGAATATGGGTAAGTAACTAATATTAATCAATAATCATAATTCATAAAGATAAATATATACCTAAATTATATTATGTTTTAATTTTACAATCCACGTAGATAATATAGTTGTCATTTATATGGATGATTTACTTTTTTATAGGTTTATGGTTTATGCAAAAAGTTAAAAAAAGTGGTACTTTACTTCAGCTATCTTTGAAAGATGCTGCAGACATTCGACAGACGTTCCTTTATCAACTAGCTCAAAATTGTCATTTAAGTTATTTTAAGCATGTTCTATTGTTTGGTTCATCTCAAGATAGATATGTTCCACCTCATTCAGCAAGAATTGAGCTCTGCAAAGCCGCTATTAAAGATACATCACCCATTGGTAAAAATATACCTAATATATAAATACCAAATAAATAATTGTAAAATGTTTTATGTCAATTACTAATTTGTGTTCGACACTATAGGATTAGCATATCGAGAAATGGTGAACAATATTTTATGTCCAATAATAAACAAACTGGATGTTACGTTTATCCGTTACGATGTACATCATGCATTGCCAAACACCGCTAACTCATTAATAGGAAGAGCAGCTCATATAGCAGTRTTAGATTCGGATTTATTCATTGAAAAATTTCTAGTGGTAACTGGACTTAAATATTTTAGATAGATGTAATGATATTTTATGGTTTTTATGGTCTAGCAAACTGAATTGTAACGTAAGCACTCACAGTATTATTATTTTAATGGACTTACAATTATTATCAAGTTGTTTAAATTAATAATTTCCAAGTTTTTAATTCCTCTCATGAATCTTCCAAAATTATGAAGAAAAATAAATAATAATCCAAGAAATTTATTTGACTTTTTTAAGTAATATAATAGTTATTTAAATTATCAGGGTTCATATTAATACCTGTAAAAGCTATACTATACATTTATTATATTAAAATATTAATATTTTTATTTTTACTTTTAATTAAATTTCAATTTAACATACTTTATAGCAAACAATGTCTTTGTAAAATAAGTAGTAGGTATTCATCAAATCAATGACATATATCAAATTTAACACAAACTAATAACTTAAAATTTTAAATCAAAATATAATTCAAAAATATTTAAATGGTTAATCAGATGATTTTCAATTATAATTCTTCTGAATCATCAAATGAAATCTAAAAATATTTGTTGGTAAATTCATAAAATATAGTTTTAATTGTTAAATCCAAATGTTTTAAAGTTAGATAATCTCAATATCTAACCAAAAATGTACCTAATTGATTTAAATAAAATATAAAACAATTAAAAATTACCATTATATACACAGACATTTTCAAAATATGTCTAGAATGATTATTTTAAGTATTGGTATCTAAGGGAGAAAACCATAATGTTCCATCTTTATCACATTAAATCATATGACATATAATATTATGTTAATGCTCAAAATTACATCATTATTATTAAAATAAATAAAATGTACTTCAATACAATAATGTTTAAGAAGGATAAAAACACAAGGGTCAATTAAACTCAACATTAATTAAAATATATATATTTTAATTAATTAAAAACTATAAAATCACATTGTAAATTGTTTTTATTTTATTATTATAATTTAAGAGTTGTTAAGTAATTTTATAAAAATAAAAATGGAAACACACTTCAATATATTGTATATTATGTATATTTCAGTTAAGTTAAATAAAATAACATTATATCAGTTTAAATTGTTGATATGAATTTTTTTTTTTATACCTAAACAAAAATGTACACTCGGCAACATAGGCCATTAGGTTACATGGGTTATTATATACATCAACATATAAAGTGTTTATATTTTGTTTTGAAGTTCTGCTCTGTGACAAACTTGAAAGTAGCTGAGAGCAAAGATCTGTTGTCACCGAGTGATTCTAATAAATGTTCTTAAATGTTTGAAGCCAATCTTGATTCRAAGTATAATCGGCATTCGGCCATTATGAGTTTAATTGTTAGATCGGTGCCACATGTTGGGGGATCGGTTTTACTCATTAGATGACTAAGAGTGATTTGTATGTGCCCGATCCGTAGTCTAGTTAGGATAACTTTGAACTTTTTAGGAAGATATGTGGGATGTGGCCATATGAACACATCTTGTTCTATTTCCTGGAATTTTGTGCGCACAGAAATCCAGTTTGCCTGCCACATATTGGTACAATGCAATTTTACCATGGGTTTTAAATTTTGTTTAGTTATGAGTTGAATTTCTTTTGCTAAAGTGTTAGTAATTGCATATTTTGCTGCCTTATCGGCATTCTCATTTTTAATGATAGCCGAATTACCAGGTATCCAGCAAAGTCGAACCGTGTTTCCTTTTCCTTTCCGATTTTGAAGCAAATTTTGTACCTGTATGTTTATATTGTTAGTGTTGTGTGCATTTTCATGTTGTTTATCGTAYTAGGAGAATCTGATAGAATTGTTGCTTTTGTAATGTTTGAGTCTATGACTAACCTTTGAGAATTGGGGATGATTCAGGAGTGAAAATAGAACTTAGATTTTGTATTAGGCTTTATATTGTTCCAGATTACCGAAGCTCCGACTCCTGCTTGACTTTTTGAGGCATCTGTCACCTGGTAAATAGCTTAATATTTGAAGATGGTGCTGCATATAGATTTTACTGTTTGTGGCGTTTTTTTTACTCATAAATTTATGATGGCAACTATTGAATGAATCCAGGGAGGGGTTGTTGGGGAATGTGAGTGAAGTATACCAGATGTCTTGAGATAGTGATGCTTCAATAGTGTTGATAATTTTTGTAAACTGGGTGTGAAATTTAGATTTGATGATGATGCTAGTTTTGTCTCGTATTTGAGAGCTTTTTACTTCTAGAGGGAAAATTCCTTGTTGATATAAATACTTAAAAACATTACCTTGAAATGTTACACAACAATTATTTACTATAAATCTGTATAACATCATATATAACACGGTAATCGGAAAAAAAAGTCCCGGTAAAAAAAGTCCCATACTAGGAAAAAAAAGTCAGTTGTACTTCGTATTTTAGTGTGTATGTGTAATGAATAAAATGCTTGTACATATTATATATTTGTCATCTACCATAATAAGTAATAAATAATAGAAAAAAAAGTTTACTAGAACTTTACCAAAATACTATTATTATAATTATGTAGGTACCTTAAATAGTTAAATGTATTTATTATTGACTATTTATTACTGTATTACATTTTATTATTTTATTATATGACTTTTTATGTAACTTTAATGYATTTTWCAATACAATTTTACCATATTTATTATTTATACTTAAAATTTGATATATTTTCATTCATTTTTAACGGGACTTTGTATTAAATTAAATTAAACTATATTTTAATATGTGATTTAAGTAAGTAATTAACATTTTTTATGATATATGACTTTTTATGTATTTCTATATTTAACGGGATTTTTTTTCCTTGTGTGGGACTTTTTTTACGGGGACTTTTTTTTCCGCGATTCATAAACTCATGAGCCAATAATAATTATAATTTACTAATGTCCATTTCAATATAATAACTTATAATTTATAATGACAGAGGCATACTTACTGTGCTATTGTATTGTATACATGGCACATAATATTTGTGCAGTATTTAAATAAAATAATAATAAAGACTACTATAAATGAATTAACCTCAAATATTACATATCAACTTTAATTTATCTTAAATTAAATGTTTATTACACAAATATAAGGAATACACAATAAAAGTAATGTAATATTAGTTTTGAGCAGTTACTTCCAATAAAAATTTTTGTAGTTGGACATGCTGTGCCAAGATTGAACATGTTATGAATTCAGGTAAATAAACAACTAAAAAAAGTAATTTTATATTTAATTCTTCAGTTTTCACAAAAGATAAACTATGTTTAAAATATCATACCATTATAAATACCCAACAAGTCATTGTACAAATAGTGATCTTCTTGACATGAGATTATAAAATAGGAATTTGGTGCCGCACTTCGGATTGACTCTAAAGATCTTCTAGTTCTTTCAATTGCACCACCAGCAGAAGTAATGATTTGCATCAAGCTATGAGCTGATGGATATGTAATTCCAGGGGTWACAAAGAATGATAAGTATTTAAATAGTAGACGACGCATATTATTTTCTAGAATTGCAGGTACATAACATAACCCCAAAAACTGATCTTGTATATTTTCTATAAAATATTCTTTTTCGTCTGAAAATAAAGTTTGATTATCGGCATTAAAAAAATATATTAATGTTTGTAATTTCAATTATATTGGGTTCACAAGTCATAATCAGAGCTTGGAACTTAATAATAAATTAAATTAAATTTCCAAAATGATTCAAATTCGAAAATAATCTACGTCTATAAAAAATAACAAAACATAACATTTTGATTCCCATAGGTAAATAATAATAGAAGAGAAATAATAATAAAATAATATCTGAGAATCAATGAAAAACATTTTTTCTAAATGTAAAAACTAAATATTTTAACCAACAATTAATTTACTGTTTTTCTTTAGGCATTTAAAAAATATAATATTTAGTATTTCAATTATCCTTTTTTTTTAAATTCGACAAACGACTGTTTATAAGAACCTAGCTTTGATTTTCAAGTTTTTTGACTGACCGAATATTTTTTTTTTAAACATTATAAAGCCTAATAAAAATCAAAAAATGTATGTACCAATAAATATCTCAACACGAATCAAATTATTTGGAAAATTTGATGGTAATAACTAATAGAAAATTTTAATATCACAGTAAAAGTTTCATCCATACATCCATGGTAATTTTTTTTTTTAAGTCACACCAAAACCAAAATCATTTGTGATAAAGCTAATTCCTATTTAACCTAAATTTTATTTTAGTTTTTTTGGTGCTTTTGAAAACGTTTAAATAACAACAAAATATCAAAAATCAATTTATAGGAATTTGTCAATTTATTGGTAAATATCTAACATAGTTAACATTTTAAATTCTAACTCTTATTATAAATTGATATTACTTTTCGATTGAATATATATACATATTTTTTTTTTTGAAAGGTTGAAAACTTGAGTGGAATTGATTATTAAATTTTTTAATGTTAGCTATGAAAAAAATATTTTTTAAGAATTACTAGCTAAAAAATAATATGCACATTTTCAGGATTTTGACGACTTCCGCCATAAATCTATCTAACTGCAGACAATCATATAATTTATTATGGATGTAACTTTTTACTATTACAATATTGATTATTATCAATTTATGAAGAAAGTTGCTATATTATTACAAGTTTTTTGATAGAAAAAAAATTTTAAAAAATAAAATAAAAAATTCTCATGGCTAAAAATAGCTTAATGTCAAAATATTTTGAAAATTTAATGTAAAAAATCAAGTAATAAAGTAATAAGTAACAAAGTTTTATTTTGAGATACTTGAAAACTATGGTAGGAAATTAGTGGTATCTATTTAAATTAGCACTGTACATTATTTAGACCAATCAGTTTTATCTGGATTTACAGATTTAATCCGTTGATCCAGGATTTTGAATTCAACCCGTTGATTTTGAAACCAATCTGTTGATTCAGATTTCAGATCTAATTTGGTTTCAGGGCCGAACTTAGGGGATGGCAGAGTGGGCTGTAGGCCARGGGCTCCCACAAATTCAGGGCCCCACCAATGTTATGATATTTAAATTAGGATACAGAAAAAATATTTTATTTATATATTAAATACTCATATTTACACATATGTAATTAAAAAATATTGAACATTATTTRGACATCAAAAAATTTAATTTTACTAACAATAATAATAGATGTATTCGCGTTTGTTAACAATGAACAATGTCTAAGAATCTAGATAAGTTTTTATGCCATCCGTAATCGGTGTTGAATTCCAAAATGTTATTGATAAGTTTGTATAAATGAAATTAAGAAAAGTTCCAGACATTTAATTTTAATTACCTGACATTATTATTTTTATTATTCTTTATTTAATTACTTACACCTAATATTATGATGAAATTACTTATACTATAGTTATACTTGATTTGATTGTTTTTCAAATTGTTTATTATTAAATAAGTAGTTAATTGTTACTACTATAGTAGTATACTAAATATGATAATAAAGATTATTTAATAAGTAAAAAAATATATTTTCTTATTTATGTGTAAGAGGCCCCCACATGCATTCCGCCCAGGGGCCACCACATACCTAAATCCGCCCTTGTTCGGCTTCATTGTTTTTGAGATGATCAGCTATTTTTTCATTTTTTAGTAAAATGTTGTGAGTAATTACAGAATTATAATTATATATTTAGATAAATAAAAAAATAATAATTGTTTTCAAAATGCTTAAGAGGCCGTAATACCTGCATGTGTTGTCTCCTTCTTACAAGCACGTAACATAGAAAAAATGTTTAGCGCAGGATAGAACCACTCAGTCTGTTATCCTAATTGAAACACCAAAAGTTAAAATAATATAGAAGATAATATTTTCTGTGTCGTATCATTTTTATTTGTTTGATATCATAAATAAAAAAAAAGTTATAATATTCTTAAAGTATGATATTTTTAAGTTTTCCAAACATCAATAACTTTTGATATATTGATCTTATCAAAAAAATAAAAACACTGTGATTAGTTAAAAATCTCCTTTTTTCATGATAACAATTTAGTTTCTTAGATATACATAACTGTAGATTGCTCAGTTATTTCTTACGCAAAACACTTTTCGCTATGTTATCCACTTGTAAGACGGAGACAACACATGTGGGTATCATGTAATCTTAATAATCCAGATTTATATCATAATTCAAATTAAGCGGATTGTAACTTTTGTTTTAATCCAGATCAATTGTTCTGGATTTAGTGGTTAGCACTAACTTAAATTGCCTAACAAATTTTAACCATTAATCAGCTAAGCTTATCCAAATATGACAATGTTACAGATTTAGGGAGTATTTAAAAATATCAAAATTATTTGTATAAAGTAAACCATTCGCTAAAGTTAAAAATATTTAAATCTTAATTAATTATGTATTAATTGAAAATATTATGAATAAAATATTTACCTAGAAGTTTTAAGCTGGAATGTGAATCTTTTAACCAATTTTCATTGAGAATATATTTAACAGTTGAAAGACAACCGAAAAACTCTATCGATGTTATAGGTTTGTTCATGATTAAATGAGTTGCTTCAAAACAGTGAGTGGCTACTATACCACCAAATAAAAGTAATATCTAAACATAACGATAAATTTAAAAATATAAAATTAAACAAAATTAGATTACAAAATACCATTTTAAGTATTTCTTTATCTTCTCTTGTAAAACCACAAAACATAACACATGGTTTTGATGGTAAGTTTTTTATATAAGTAATGATAACATCATTATCATTAATGTCATCAATTTCATCATTAATTAAAATTTCTTGTGTTTCAGATATTGTTTTTTGTCGTTTACATTTTGTAGGACTATCAGGATTTAAAGTCAAATCATGCACTTCTTGATTTTCAAGAAATATCAAAGGAGTTTTCCAAGACTCTGAAATTTTTTTAAATATTAATTAAAATTTAAAATACATATTTTATTATTAAGATGATATTACACCCATATGTTTCTTCCATATTAATTTATTTTATTTTAATAAAATTATAAACATACAATTCAGAAAATATAAGTTGATGACTTAAATCTTGGATGTAATTGACCTCTTATCAATATTAGGTAAAAACAAGTGTTTGTAACAGCAATCTTTTTTACAAAATTTTAAGTTAGATGTGCATTAATAATGTTTTTAAAGAAAAATATTTTAAATTATCATAAAATTTATGCTATAAATCAGAACAAAAAACACTGATGCAATTTTTAAAGTTAGGTTAGTTAGAAAATAAAATTAGTTTTACTGAATGCATATATTGTACATAAGAGGGAGATAACACATTTTTGAGTAAAGTCCTCTTAACCAGTTACAATATATTAATTATGAATTATAGATATTGATCATTGAGTAGACAACTATAAAAATATAAATTTATTGGTAAACAATATACAAGTTACAAAAGATAATAATTAATTGATATCATACCCATTAAATGTGACACCATGTCATAATTCACTGAAAATGGATTACATAAATCAAATTGTTGGTATTTTAAATTTCCAGGCTCTTTTATACCAAGTCTTGCGCCAAAAAGTATATCATTCAACCATTGAACATTAACTACTGGTTTATTAATTTCTAAAGCTTTTTCTACAAGTTCACCTTCTAATCTACATTTAAAAATATAAGTAAATTAAAATTATTAAACAATTAACTGTCTGATAGGAATTGTTATATTTAAATAAAAAAAA